ACCAGAACGGAGTTACAATCAGGGTATGGAGCCATGACGGGGAGCTGTCCAAGGAAACACTGTCAGTTTCTTTATAGTAGTCAAGGTCGGAACAAAGAGAAGAACTTACCAACATGTGCTTCAAGAACGCTTCAAATTATTTACGGTGATAGGCATTGACTCTCAAAAGGCCTAATTCACATATTGCAGCAAGCATGCTGTAGTGAACGCCAGCCCTTGGACGCTTTAAGGCGTTAGGGTGTTCACCTCGCTTGGACCTGAAGTATCTGCGTTGCACATCCTGCAGTCACAGACCGGTCTCATCTGTAGAAAGAATGCAATTCAAATCAGTAAGCTAAATCATGACGTAGAAGACCATGATTGACTAACCTAAGAAAACCAGATATCCTGGTGGCAGATGGCAAATTCGAGTCGAGTATGCAGCCCGGAGTTCCGGCGATTGATTGATGTTGACAGCAGCCGCCTTATGGACGGTGAGGAACAAGTGGTCCTTGAGATTGTTCGCAATTGTTTGTCGACATGCAAGCAGATATGTATGATCATACATTGCTTCTTGGATTTCATCAAGAAAGAGTGTTGGATCAGCCTCTATGAGTTCAACCATGAATTCACGGTCTTTGTCAGTGTACAGAGTTGGACGACCTTGTCTTTTGTAAGTGTTTGGATCTCAAACAACCGCGTGTGTGTGATTGTTAAGGATCTTCCATTGAGATAGACTTCTGGGTGAGATTGCAGTGAGAAGTTCTTCATTGATGGACGGAATTATCAACAGCAATTTGATCATCATCATCATTGTCAGATGATTGATGGGTTTGCTGGTGCTTTTGACTGCAAGGATAAGATCAGTCTGGTTCACATTCCAAAAAGTCAATCAGTTCTTCTTCATTGGAAGAAATGATTGACTTTCGCTTACATTTTTTAGTCTGAGAACTCAACTTCTCAGTCTCAGGCTCAGAATGTGATTCTGATGGAAGATTTGCAAGGTATTCCTTCATATTGAAGATCAAGCCAAACTTGGTCTTGTCCACTTTCTTGGTCTTCTGCTTGATAATTAATGAGTGTTGATTTTGTCTAATCTTCTGTAACCAAGACCCCATTTTCTACAATTATACAATAGATGGATGAAAAGTCATGTGTCAGTTGACAAATCTTGTTCCCTTGCTGCTGGGTCTTGGATGGAAACACTGAACTCTGGACATGCTGGTTCTACTCAGGTAAAGAAAATTCATTGAGATTTTGATCTCTGAAATTTCCTCCTTGATTTACTTTCCCTTATTCTTCTTCCCCTTTGGATGACCAATATTTTGCCTTCCAAGCTGGGATGCGCAGATGAATGCGTGGATTTGAGGATTTGGAAGTTCTGAGGGCCTCTGGGAACTCCCAACGCAAGAATGATTGACATGGGAGTTGGACTGGTATTGTTTGAAGGCTGGCTGACTGATTGAGCCAGCCTGGAACGGTCTTGTGGAAGAGTCAACACAGTTAAAGTCATGTTTCTGATTGAAGCTGAAGTGAGTTTCATCAAGGTCCAAGCCAGATTTGCATGTGGAGCGCAAGCTGGGATACCAGTATGAGCATCCACTTTATCCAGTTGGGTGTGGGGGTTGGAAAAAGCTCACTGGGTGAGGTTTGTAGCGTGGCTGAGCTACGTGGTAGTGCCTAAGTCTATCGATAAAGGCTTTTTAGGGCAAGAATTGCCTTACGCGTGTGGTACAGGGTCAGGCTTGCTCAAGGTGGGTGAAAACCCTAGGCCTCTCTGGCTTGTTAGCAAAAGGCTGTGTGAGCTTTGCAAAAAAGGCCGGCCCCATCAGACGTCTGATGTCAAGAGGAAAGATGGAGAGAGGGGAAGGAGCTGCAATCAAACACACTGGGAGGGGAGATCTTGAGCTGCACTCCTGCATGGGAGTTCCCTTGCCACTCTCAAGGGATTCACAACTGGAAGGTGAGGACATTAAAAGGGCACAGTACAAGGGGCCCACATGAGGGGCAAATCAACGACAGACTTGAGAGGCTAACAACTTGGTCTTGCGTGCGACAGCAGCAGAATATGGCCTGATGTACAGCTTGTAAGCAGCGGATTTCCACTTTCCCATTGTCCTCAGCCGCAAAGTTTTATTGCCCCACAGATCCCTAAGCGAAGCGCTGCCTATTATGACCAGACCACACTCGGCCATACGTCCTACCCTCCTCTTCTAGAGAGTTGGTCACATAGGAGCGTGTCATGGACACTTCAGGGTTTGGGCCAGGAAAAAAATTGTTGTCTGGTTCTCCTCGATAGACTTGAAGCAGAAAGAAAAGGGCATTAGTGAAAAGACAAAACAGAATGAAACGAGAGCTAGTTTACTAGTGTCAGTGAAGTTTCTCCCAAAACAAAGGAAATTGTGACAATAGAGAAGACACAAGAAAGTAGGAGAAAACAATGACAATTTATATGAAACAAGTTTTGTGTGGCGTTACAACTAATACAAAAAGAGAAAAGACAAAACAGCCACAACCTAAATCTTCCTAGATATTCCAACCAGTCTAAACCAAAAATGGGTGAGACTAGGTTGGATGCCTAGCCAGCTCAGCCGTAACCCCCCCTCAACCTTTAGAGGTCTATATGTCTAAGTCATGCAGATATTGTGTTTGTGAACATGAAAAATAATGTTACCTAAAGATTTTGTAAGTATAACTGCTTTTTGATTAGGTCCATCTATCCATTCAATTTTTAAATTACCATCGAAAATTTGTTCATTTACATAGTGGAATTCTCTGGTGACGTGATGAGATCTTTTAGTAAGGTGTAAATCTTGTGCAACCTTGATAGCCGCCATGTTATCACATTTGAGTGTAGTGATGAAAGTCCTTTTGGAGATATCTTCCAGTAAGTTTTGAATCCCGATTGATTCTCGTGACGCTACACCAAGTGCCATATATTCAGCGTGACGGGTTGACGGTGCCACACAACTTTGCCTCCGAGAAGCCCAATCAATAACATTACCAAAAAGAAATACAACAAAACCATGAGTAGACCTAGAGAATTCTCCCCCCCCAATTTGCATCACAGTAAGTAAGCAGTTCACCATCATTACCATTCTTTCTAAATTAAATACCATCCTCCTTTGTTCCACTAATATACCTCAGTCAGTGTTTTAATGCCAACCAATGACATTCATTTGGTTTTGAAGAAAATCTTGCTAAATAGTTGACCAAGAAAGCGATATCAGGCCGAGTTCCTATTGCAAGATAAGATAGAGATCCAACAATCAAAAGATAAGAAGAAGCATTGAGGCCAATAGCATCTTTATCAGATGATTCAAGATGTAAATTCACAATCATTGGAGTTTCAGTTTTCGAAGTAGTAAATCCAGCAGATCCCAAGACATTGAAAGTCAGAGATGGTTGAGATAAGAAAATGCCATCAGGTGTGTATTTCATTTTTATACCAACAATTTGTTGAAGGTTTTCATTCCAGGTGATTTGAAAAGTTTTGAGGAGGGATTTGTGAATGTAGGTTATGATTTCAATTGAAGACCCACAAATTACCCCATCATCCACATGAATCCATAAGATCGCTATACTATCCTTGTAATGTAAAACATAAAGACTTTGATCATTGATACCATAGCAACATCCCATTCCTGATAAAACTGATGAGAAATGTTTCCATCAGCAATGAATCATTGATTTGGTTTCTATTTAAGGTAAACCTCAGGCTTGGATGTACTGAGAATGTTGAAAAGGATGATATTGATTTGGGAAAAACGTGTGAGTTTTTTCATTGGGTTTCATTGGATGCTGATAGACGTTGGAAAGTAGGCTGATTGAATGAGATTGGTGGAAAGAATTGATATTGTACAATCAAAGAGATGAGTAGAACTCAATTTATGATGGAATCAGATGATGATGTAATGTCTTCCTCACTCCACAGGATCATGCCCATTTACTAAAGCTTTTGATATCAATTGGGGTAGCAGTCAAGGTTGAAATCCATAATTTCCTCCTTGCTGTAGGAGTTTAGCTTATGCCCTCAGTTGGTCTTTGGTGAGTTCATTCTATCTCACCTCAACCCAACTTGTAAATTGGACTGAAAATAATTGATTTTGTTTGGGTTTGGGTTTAAGTTTGTGGTGATGGTTCTAAAAAAGCTGAAAAGAATTGGGACATCCAATATGCTGTATGAGTCTCAAGTCGGAATTGAAGATGCAACGGTAGGAGCTTGGTTAGCTAATTTAGATCATCAGGTGAATCATATGATTAAACTGGATTTGTAGGGGAACGGGATATTGGAATCAACTTGAAATCAATTCAGATACAGTAGCTTTACATTGGCTTGAATTGATTGAATTGTATGTACAGAAGATGTTCACTGTTGTCTTTTCTTTGTGAATCTCGATTTGATGTCACAACAAAGATTTCTTAGGAATTCAATCTGCGGAATTATATCACAAAAAGAATCATGTCAATAAGACAGAAACAATTGAGTCATGAAACTGTTGCTTCCATTATTTTAATTGTTAAATACTCATTAAAGAAAAATACTACAAGATGAATTTTTGAATCATTCATTTTTTTGAACGCAAGAAGAAAGTTACAAAACTAGGAATAAAATGACATGATCTCTATAGACAGAATACACCAAGATATCATAAGGATTGTTTCAAAGTTTGAAATAAAAAAGTCATAAGTTGTGAGTTGAGTTTTATCACTTTATCACTTGGATTACATTTGTTTTCAGGTTTTGATTTCAAATAGAAAGACTTTGAGCTGGAGGAATTTTGATTTGTTTGACACAGTGTTGTTTCCCAAACTAGTCTTCATAACAAACTTAACTTCAAATCATATCATAGTTTTGATCATCATTGATCAAATTTCATGAACTGGCATCCTTATCCTCTTCTGTGACTTGGATTGTCTTTTTCATTGCTTCCATCTCATCATTGGAATCCTCAATTTTGAATTCACCCACCTTCTTAAACAGAGGAAACACTGTAAGCTTACAGGGGAACAACAAACACATGGCAAGAAAAGGTGAGTCTGTCCTTTGTACCTATGGTGCAGAATACTACCACCTATCATGTAATTGTCAAGGAGATGTGTGTCCATTTGGTAAGCTGGTGACAGTGGACAGAGAATTGGATAGGGACTTATGCATTTGCTCCTGTAATAATTGCCATGGTCAGCAATTGCTATATGCAAGCTGGCTAGAGGTCCCACACTGATTGCAAGGTAAGCAAAGGAATTTGTCAAGTTTCTGATATAAGATGCAAAGACAAAGAGCATATTCAAGGTTTGTATATCAATTTACAACTGGTGCTGCGTGGTTTAAATGTGAGTTTGATCATCAACTTCAGTCATTCTCAGATATTGGTACATAGCAGTTAGGAAAAATTATACCACAAACTTCCATATAATACAAGAATTGAAAGATGAAGGCCAGGAAATATGGGTAAATACGTACAGTTCATACCTTCCTGGATGTTGGACCACATTAGCAAAGATATTGAACCAGAATGAAGCTACCATCACTGACTATGGTGCTGGTATGGGAGGCAAACATGGATATATAGGCCATAATGATTGTGATCAAATAAGGGCATTGAATATATGTGCATTCTAAATTGCTTGAGACACATTTGTTACTAAATTCCAAAATTGGATTGAGCACCATTAGCAAGGTTTTGGGAAGAAGAAAAAACTGAACTCACCAGTTGATGTGAATGATTTCAAGAGATGCAAGAGGCTTTGTAGGGACCGTCGACAGTGGAGTTCAAAGCTCAGAAGCAATGAGGTGCAAAATAATTCAAAGGAATACCCAGTACATATTGTTTGGTAATTGCAGGCACAGGGAGGTTGAAAGACGGTAGCAGAGGGTGGCAGGCAGCCCAGTACCTTGTCACATCTTCAAGTGATCAAATGTTGGCCTGTGACATGGAATCAAGTGATACATTGCCTCACTTTAAGAACAAGCTACCACAAGTCGTATGATCATTACATCACACAGCCACAATGTGATTGCACAGCACATATCCAAGTGCTATGTGGTGGCACATACCACCATGCCTTGTAAAACGTTTGCCGGTATCCAACTCAAGCACATAGTTGAATAACTTGTGCTCTTGTCCACCTCTGCATTGATACCTACGGCGGGCAAGTTATGCTCAAGGTGTTTGCTGACTGTAAAGTTGGATGATGATGCAGATGGTGAAGAAGACTGGTATGGGATGCAAAGCCCTAGCCCTCTGATGTATGGCTGACTTGAGCCCAGTGACAGCCACAAGAGTTGTTGTTCTGGATCTGGTTTCCCACAGGTTTCTTTCACCTCAGCAGCTCTGTTCCGCCTGTTCTGCCCCTTCATATACAAAGAGAAACAGCTTTGTGTACATAATTACCCTCAGGCTCTTCTTTATTTTGCCCTGTAATGAGTAAATGTCACGGAAAGATGTTGGCTAGGTGCTGAAATAGCTGGTTTGTCCAGCAGACTCAACCTTTAAATCATCCAAGATAATGTCTGTCTTGTCGGCTGCAGTTTCAAAGAATAAGAAGATTGAGCTGATTTGGACAGTTTGGGTGGATAATTTGGGCCAATGAAAGATTGTTTGAATTTGATGTCAGAGCGATCAAATGCGGGAAGAAGAGTGTACAAGGGAGATGGAGTGAACTGAGTGCATTTGATGGTAGTATAGAAAGGAGAATGCAATCAGGGGAGAGTAATGAAATCAAGATTGATGCTCACACTGAGCGTTGTACACTGTCCTTATTAATTCTCCAAAGAAGATTGTTTTTCTTTCAGATTTATCCAATTGCAAATTTTGCTGTAGATTGGTAGAGGATGCTTATGTCCGTTTTGGATGAGGATTTTTTGAGCTCAGTCTTTCAATAATTGAGTACCCTTATGAGTCACTGCATACTTGAAATAGCTCAGAACCTTGTCCAAAATCCTGGATCAGCAGGCTGCCAGGTATGCCGGAGGGGCTGAGATGAGGTTAGCAGATGGGCCAGCCCCAGCTCAGCTCCTGTTGATGATGTAATTTTCTGACAAGCAAAAATAAAACAGCAAGGAAGGGACAGGAATTGGGAAGTAAAACTGAACAAATGTTGAAGAAAGTAAAAACATTTCGAGGATCTATTTTGGCCCCTGTGATTGGAAAAAATTGAATAGTTGTTGGAAAGTGCATGCAGATTGGACCAATTAAGAAAGGAGAGTTTCTGACAGCAAAAGGTCAGGATGAATATTTGAATGATGTCAAGCGCAAAAAATACAGGTATGTTAAACATTTATGTCATTCAAACATCAAAAAAAATGTGATGCAGTGATATGATTTGGGGCGGGTTGTTGGAAAATCAGAAGTTTGAATATTGTATGTCAGTAATTGTGGGTTGTTGGAAAACTGCAAGTCAGCAGAATATATCAACGGCAATGGTGAGCCCCATTTTGACCGCTGGCCTGGTGTAAAACTAGATGTTTTGTATGATGTATCTATGCAGAAAAAGTGCCATCGTTCTGTGAGAGAGATGGTCAATTTGAGCTGAATTACAGCAGAGAGGAAGTTAAATACTGACTTGGCAAAGACTCTTGTGAATGCAGGTAAAGACAAGGACACAAGGGAGGGCGATGAGCATGTACAGATAGGGCAAGGTTTTATAGAAAGCTTTTTTGTTGTTCTCCAAAATTTCGGTATATCCAACCTCATGGACCAAGTAGGTGGTTGGGAATGTGATTTCATGTAGGTAAAAATGAGAAACACCACAAGGTTCCCATGAACAGAGCACAACAAATTGAGGATCCTGTTTTACATCAATCTTTTGTTTCATCTTGTTCATTGCTGTCAAGTGTCGGCAGCACCCGACTATCATGCCTTCAAAGAACCCATTTCAAAAATATCTCACCCATGTACTCTTGCATCATTGTGCCATGCACAGTGTTCAGAACAGTCATCAAGAGGTTATACTTACAGCTGCAGTCCGGCTCAACAGCTGAATCGTCTGCTTGAGTATCAAGACAAAAAAAACACATGACAAACAAATATGAGAGTACCGCAAATTGCATTGCTGCTACACACTTTGCAACTGAATGGTCTAGTGGCACCATACCCACTTTGTTTCACAACAATCACCACACCAACCTGCGACTCCAGCACAGGGCAGCTCACTTCTGGTACCAAGTGTGCGGTAGTGCAGTTGGGCAGTGGATTAAAGTTGGGAATACAACGCGCTGGTAGGCGCAGTGAAGCACAGCACAGGGGAAAGAAACTTCCAGCAAAACTTACACAGGAACACAATCATATTAGAAGCAGGTAGGCTTCAAAAAGACAAAACAGACCCTAACGAGGACCAACCACAAGGACTGAAAAAATGGAGAAAGAGTACACAAAATTGGAATCAAACAATTCAATGGGAACAGAACAGTACAGAAACACATAGGACACAGGGGCAGCGGAAGTTAAAATAAAAAGATCAAATTGAAAGAATTGGATCCTAAACAATTCCCGCTTTTTTTTCTTTTTCAACATTGCCACCAGCTGTTTCACAGCTGCCACTGCGTTTCCCAAATCTCTGTCCAAGAGAAAGTTCTGTTCCAGCCAATAGCCAACAGCCCTTTTGGTTGATTGCAATGTGAGTCATCCACACCAATAGGCACAGACAATTGCAGCACATCTTGAGCAGCCACTTTTGATGCCTGTCTTGCCGTTCAAGTCAAAGGAATCTTGGCACCAGCGGCAATCACATTGTCCTGTCCTTCACATTCTTGCCAATTAGCATTGCAATTGCAGTAGCGAGGTAAATTACTCTTTGCGCCAATCCTGTACAACTTCGGGCACCATAGCCATTTGCAATACATTGGTTTTTTGCCTGGTTTCTACATGTTGGGGTGACCAATTGAATTAGTACGGTATCAATGTTGGAATAAATTACTGTTACAAGTCTGATTACATCTCATATCTTGGTATTTCACTCAATGTGCGCTAACACTTAACAACATGTAAGAAAGTACTCAAACACTTTTCAGTCCAAACATTAATCCAACCATAAGTTGTACTTGACAATATAATCTTTTCATGCCTTGTTGTTCTGAAAACTTTCTTCATCTTTTTTTTCATCACTTAAGAAAGTTTTCATGTCAAACAATTCCCAGTTGTCATACAACAACCTCTTCAGACTCTCAGTGCATCGTTCTTGTTTGCTGATAAGCCTGTCGTTGATTTTGATCAGGAATCAAAGGTTATCAAATCAAAAAGTCATCAAATGTTGGATATGAAAAAAAATGTACCTGTTTATCTTTCCAAAAGTACACCTTGGAATGGTACAGTGTGACTGCATGAAAAGCTCCTTTCTCATCATCAACCTCCTGTTCAATGTCTGAATCTTGATGCATCAATGTTTCCAGGTAGCTTGTAATTCTGACACCAGGTAAACAAGAGAAAAGTTGTCGAAGTCAACAATCAAATGATCCACACAGCTTACTTTGAAATGAGAAATGCAATCATGAAGCTTACCTGCTTCTTGTGCTTGGTTCCAGGTTGCTTCTTTGTGGTTGACTTTGTTGTGCTTGTTCTGTTCTATGGCACTTTCTGTCAACTGGGGAAACAGGACTCACAAATTTGGGGCATGTTGATGCAATTTCTCAGTCCAATGGCTACCAACCTCAAGCTGGGACTTAAATTGGTCCTTGCTGCCATTGCCCACACCAACATGGATGTCCACTTTCTCAAGTTGCAAGCCAAGGCTCCCAATTGAGAGTTGATTATGGCGTGTGTCAAATGTGGGATTCACAGAATTAATTGTATGGGATGGTTGAAGCAGTCCAAGTGATTTAGCGGACATCGTGTCTGGCCCTTTAGTTTTGTGTTTGCAAGGTGGCAGACACCGTAAGAATAACTTTTGTGGCCGCATGAAACCAGGTCCAGCGTTTGAAAAATGGAAATGTTGTCCTGCTTTCCTTGTTCCAAATGCACTGGTCTCAATATTTATCATTGTACATACACCCACAATATTCATATCAAGAGACAAAATGCAAATACAATTCATATCAAGAGACAAGCTGGGAATACAAACTAAACTTGGCAACAGCGACTACATTCACACACGTAACTACGCAAGAGCGGGTAGATCAAACAAGAGTTGAGACGAAAATACACTACTACATGAGAAACACCAGGCGCATGAAACAAGAGATGAGAGAGGGAGAAAAACAAACAAACCAACACTCAACAAGGAAGATCAGATCATGAATCAACAGCAATTGAAGAATCAAATCCGTATAAAGTCATATCAAAAAATCAAGTCTCCATCAAAAGTGGTTCAAAGAATACGTATGAAATAAAAACATAAAACCGTATCATAGTTGACAAGGCAGTCCCAAACTCAGACCACAGTGTTGGTGCTGGGAAATGAGGTGCAGCCTCAGCAACACTCTACAAAGGAGACGAGGAGAGATAAGAAAAGTCACATACATTGGCGCCTCTTCTAGATATACCAGGAAAAGATAAGCCTTGAGCTCTGGGGGGGTTTTCCAGCAAGAAATAGCTTTTCGCAAAAAGTCTTTGAGCTCCTTTCTTCTGGTCACAAGCACAAGTCGAATGCGCACTTCCTCACGTTTCAGAGAAAAAACATTCCTTTGCCCAACATCCAACAGTTGGCGCCACTTGTTGGCCAAACATAACATATCAATCCTCGCCACATTTCCAAGTTGCATTGCCATCACAACGGGGTGTTGGTAGTCTTTCCCGCACACAGTGAGGGGTCGATATAGATGGCAGAGCATCTACTGCGTGGTGTGCAAGGATAGCTTGGCCAGCACTGTGTCCTTGTTTTGAAGCTGACATAGTTGGAGCTGCGTTTGCTGAAGGGAAGCTGTTGTCCAACAACATATCTAGAGCACTTTCATCAGGAGTTAGACTATACTTCTTCAAGCATTTACGCTGGGTGATTCTTCCCGATGGGGTAGTAGGCATTGGTAAAACATCTGGGACCTTGGCTAACGCGTCCACAACTGTTTCTGGGGTAGGTAGTGGTGAGTCATTGGTTTCATCAAGAAAATTCGGGTAGTGAGCATTGAGTGCCATATTGAGGGTAGTAATCATTTCATTTGGTTTGTGAAACACTGGGCTCTCAATATGCTTCCAAATTGTCAGCATCTGGACTGGAGAAACGTTCAGGCATATGTGGTGTATTTGCATTTTGATTCGCCTGGATGGTAGGAGCTATGTGTATAGGTATGGACGTGTGCAAAGGTGAAGAGATCAAGAACACGAGGTTCAGTAGTCATGAACACCAAGTAGCTGTTGAACAAGAGATAAAAGAAATAAAAGACTGACTATGAGATAGAGTCATTCTTGCGCTTGATTTGGAAACCTTGTTCTCCACCACAGAGTGATTATGGCCGTTGGGAGTGCTGCCTCCGTCGCTCTCAATGTTGCCAACAATTAGGGTGTACAAATATGACTTCTGTCAAATCTCAGAGAGTTTGACAGAAGGTCTCACAGAATGACAGATACCAAAATTCGGCGGGATCTGTTGTTGGTTGCAAATATCAAGGCAGACAGAGCAACAGAACAACAGATCACATCAAAATTTTGGTATCTGTTGTTCTGCAAAACCTTCTGTCAAAGTCTCTGAAATTTGACAGAAGTCATATTTGTCACCCTAAATGCCAACTGGAAAGTTGTTGTTGTTATCAGAGGTTCCAGGTAGATCAATGCTGTGTTGAGGATGCCACAGGGATTCTCATTCCCTTTGTCATGAAATAAAGTGTCCATTGTGCTGAAGCATGGGCACATGAATTCTAATAGGTCTTCCATTGTGTGAATATTGTCTGCAACATTCTTGGCAGAGAGACTGCTTCCTGTCTTCAAGCTGAAGGATTTCGTGCTGGAGTATTTGGACTTATAGTGTTGAACACGTTGATGGAAGACATGTCCATGATGTTAGAAGAGTTATTTTGAATTATGCAATTGTTGTTCATTTGAATTCTGGGGGAGTTCAAAATAGACTTGGAATCCATTGGCATTCCAGAGCTCCGAGTCTGGCTCCCACCACCAAATGGAGAGTTACAAATGTTAGGCTTACTGAGGTACGCAACAATCGATTATCAACATGTTCAAACGTGGGCCTGTCCCTGTTGGGGAGTTCAGCTGACGCAGACACAGAAGATCTTCAAGCACGTTTTCGGGCGGCCAAGGGGATCTTTTGATGGTGACAGGTGTTGCTCAAGCACTTGCAGAGATACCGGGGGCAATGAGGTCCTCTTAAATCTGCACTCTAGTACAACGAGTTCTTGGAGGACCGAGCAATGCAAAGAACTAGATTATTGTCAGCATTTTGAATTGTGAATGAACCACATTGTGGGCTCCCAAACTCACTGACCTTGATGTAATGTTGTACATTAGGTGCAATGGTTGACCAAGATCAAAGTTGAAAGATGTGATGGTGTTTGATGTCAAGTAGCAATGTGTTACCAGATAAATGGCTTGATGTGACGGGGTTGGAGTTCAAGCTGCAATGTGTTGAACAATACTTGACGGACCCAGACAGAGAGACAACTCCTTGACACAAGCAATCAAAACTACATGTCAGTAGAGGAATCGGAGTAGACAGATCAATGGAGCTGATTGGACACCAAAACAGGGGTTAAGTCAAAAGGTGATGATGATGGGATCAAGACAAAGGGGGGGGAAAGCAAGGTCAAATTGATGAATCATGTGGAATAAAGTCCATCCCCATCACAACTTGGACCAAACATCAAAGCCCCCCCACATTGCAATTACCCTTGGTTCACTACTGAATTATCTGCAAAGCTTTCATGTTTGCCTTGTGATCAACCACTTCAGGCAAAATCTTGTCAGAATACAATAGGAAGACACATTAGCTGTATCAAAGCCTGACCCAGTTACCAAAAAACCTGATACACCCAGTCACTTCTTTGGTGGTAACTTTGTGTATCACATTGACATTTATTGACAGCTCTGGACATCTCCCAGCCCAAAATTCAACCATGTGTACCGGGTTATGTGTGAACACAGTTATTATTTTTGTATCAGGCTTGTCTTGGAAAGATGCTCCGGAAATATGCTCAAGTTGTCCAATGTCAAACCACCATTGATGTATCTTTCAACCGCCACTCTCCACCTGGCCAATGCAGACTCTGATATGCATAAAATTCTCTTGGGTATGTTCAAAGATTTTTTAACCCAGTATCCACAAGTACCCCCTTCTGGAAAGGCAGCTGGAAAGGAGAAGATGGAGCTGAGTCGGAATGAGTGCAACACTTGACTATCACTGCCACCACCACCTAGTCCAGATCACACCCAGCAAGCAGATACATCAGTCACAATACTAGAGCATTAGAAACAGCAGATCTTCAGGTCGCGCTGACAGCACCATCAAAGGAAAGGAGAGAGAGGGTTGAAAAAGTGCCAACACCCCCACCACCTGTACCTGCAATTATTCCATTGGTCACACCCTATGGACTGGGTGTGCTTCAGCGCTGTCTGACACATGCCATTGCCCCTCTTGGACTACCAACCTCAGCAGCCCTTCCTGATTGTCAGTGCTGGTACCCCTAAACCAGCAGACTGGCAATATGCTTTCAAGTCCTATATAGTCCTTGCTTGGACACCTAACTTATTGCGGCTTGGGCGTCACCTTTGGCAAAATACTTGGATGCCTGCTACAGCTCACCCAGTTGGTTACATATGTACCTCACAATCATTCAAACATGGCATTGGTAAATAGCTCACCCAGGTGACTGAAAAGCACCAGCCTAGCCTTGGTAATGGATTCATATGAGCAAGAAGCCCAATTTGCATTTTGCTGAGCACATAGGCTCCATCTCGACACATTTCAGGTCACCTGTTTATGTGGCCAGTGGGAGAAGATCTCATTGGTACCTTTTTGCAATGTGGACACACAAGGATTTGCACTACATGTTAGCAGACTCACTGAACGCCACAGTGACATGTGACAAGCATGGAGGATATCATGTCTTTGAGTGCGCCAAAGGCATTGGTCAGCTAGTTGTCACCAAGGACAAAAAGGCACTCTTCAAATTCAAAGCTCATCATTAACAGTTGAATTGATGAATCTAGTTAGTTTCAAATTGATTGGGGTTTCTGCTTTTGACTAAATTTGGTGGTTTGGCCAGGTATTTGTGCAAGAGGGAGATGAGGATGGCGTGGACATGGACACATGATTGCTGCTGAGCAGTCATAGGATGGTGTAGATGGTTCGACACAATTGGGCTTGAGTATCCTGGCTGGTTCAACACTATTTGTAGATGATGCACATTTGTATCTATGTATCCAAGAATTTTAGAGACATAAAATCTGGACTTACCAGTGCAGCTGAACACATATGGGAAATTGTCAGCTCATGATGATTTGGCTGGCCAGCTCATATACATATCCCATATCGCTTCAAGATTTATGGTACAGAAATATTGCTCTGGGAAAAAATAACTTTCTACTGCAGCCCCTCAAATGAACCAGGGCAATCAAAGCTGCCAAACACCAGAGAACACACCAAAAAAAAACTTCTGGCCAAAACGGTGTTCTGGAAATTGCCAGAACAATATTTGTGTACCACAATTGTGTTACCAACCGGCAGAAATTCGTTATATTCCCAGTCAAGAATGTTCAAACAACACACCTTTGAGCTTTGAAGGTTTTGATTATGAATAGACCGCCCCTGATTGTGTCTGATGCAACAAAGTGGTTTCCAAGTTGTCTTCCTCCACCATGAGATACTACAGCAGATGCAATTCCAAAAAAGAACTAAGTAAAAACCTCCAATGCAACTCTGGAATCAGCACTTTGCGTATTTGTTAATTCAGTTGATGCTGATCCACCCTCACAGAAACTTTCACCGTTTATCATCAAAATCAATATGTATTATTTATGCATTCTTTTACAGATCCTATTGAGTGTGTATTTGGACATACTCATGTTATGAATCAGAATTGGGAATAGTGGCTAGAGGCTGTGTCCTTACAACCATTGCCTCCTGAATGAACACTGCTATCTTCAGGTGAACTATGGATTGGACGTGATTCTCTTGTTGGGAAGGGTCATTGGAATTGAAAACCTACCTACATCATCCCCATCTGCATTCAAATTACTACTGCGCTGGTTGGGCCCCACATGTCTCTAACAGGTAGTCATTTCTGCAGCCATTGATTGACATGGAACAAATGTGACAGGCACTTCAAATATGTACTCAAGGTGTGTCCCACGCGCACTCTCCCCAGATCTTCTGTGCCATGGAAGTCAGCGGCACCACAATTCACACTACAGTGAGCTACACTTTACACATTGATGCCATGGTACACTTGAATACATTACACATCACCCCAGGTGTTGGTCCTGATCAGATACAAATGGACTGGCCTTTTCATCTACATCCCAAAACTTTCAATCTGGAGTCAACTCCACCAAATAATTGACTCACAAATCAGGGTGCGCAAATACTGTTCTGGAAATTTCCGGACACCTTTCTCCAGGACGCCTGAAGCCTCCTGGTGTTGTGAGAAACACACAAATTGGGGCATTTGCAGTTGCAGAATGACAGAATGCCAGAACACACCAGGAAAAAGCTTTGGGTGTTCTGGAGATTTCCAGAATGATATTTGTGTACCCTGAAGTAATATGTCGATGATATTCAGGCCGATAAAAAGATGAATGTGAGTATTAATTTCCTATCTCTTGAAGGAAAGGAAGTACAAATGACTTCAAATCGCTTCTGCTAACTTTCTGAACCCATTCATTGACACCCAGAGTGTCTAGACAGTTTATACATACTCTGCTGGTATGGTACAAGACTTTGGTCTTGTAGCTGATGCAGGGATATGTCTGAGATTGATGTGTCTGCAAACGTTAGGATCAAGGTCAAAATGTTTGCCTCACAATTCTTCTGGCTTCAGCGCATAGCCTCACAGTGTAACAGCTGATGTGTTCTTTGGTAACCCCAACTCAGTGGTAATTATTGGTCAACATGTGACATTTACAGAGTCTCCAAGGCTGTTTTCATCCCAGCAATGACATGTGCTAACAGAAATAGGCCATGAGTGTGG